GCTGAGTTCATCGAAAGGGTGTCTGCGGGGGGGGGAGTATGATGTTGGGGGTGGAGTCCGCTCTCTATGTGCGCACACAGGCGAGGGGAGGGACATAGCGATAGGGGCGTGGCCCTACTGACAGTAGTGACAGGAGGAGCACGTGTGCTGAGCTGGGCTGTGTTTACTGTTCGGGCATTGGAAACACGAGTAGAAGAAAATCAGTGACGTCATCACATCGCAGTTGCTGGGTAAAAGGCACAAATTCAAACATATTAAAAAATACGGTATATTTATTTTAATATATTATTGTATTTGTGTATTTATAATTTCATTAGGTAGGATTTTTTTTTTATATTTAGGGTGTTTATGGTATTTTTATGGTATTTAAATCTATGTAAAGTTAAATGTATTTATTTTTTTACATTTTGGGACTGAGAAGGGAACAATCGGAATCCCAAATCTCACTTTTTCCTCATTTTTGCACCCAGAATTAAAATATATATATATGCCCAAGCTTTACATACCCTCCCGATGCCCAAGGACCCCCTCTATCCAGTGCCGCTGGTCCTCTTCAGGCAGAACGACAGTCCGCCGGTCCTCTTCAGGCAGAACGACAGTCCGCCCGTCCTCTTCAGGCAGAACGACAGTCCGCTGGTCCTCTTCAGGCAGAACAAACTGCCATGAAATCGGGACACAGCATTCAAATCCCGGACTGTCCGGGTGAATCCCGGACAGGTGGCAACCATAAACCCTCCTCTCTTTTTTTTTGTTGCTGTCTGTGTGGCACTTGGGAGAATTACCTTCACTTCCTGCTCACCTTCTCAACAGTTGTCACCAGAACAAGTGTCCTCATTGAGGCTGGGATCACACCACCTCCACACCACCTCCAGACCAGACCGTATTGTTTCTGGACCTAAAATGCATCCCAATGTTTCCCTATGCTCTTCATGGCCTCAGTTCACACCATCGCAGTCAGTTCCAGACCAGACCAGAAAAATACTGCGTGTCACATTTTGTCTGGTCCGGAACACACCGGAACTCGCACAAACGCGTCGAAAACCCAACGGAACGCAATGGGAAAAATTTTTTGGGGGCTGGCTGGTGATGATCTCATCACCCCTGGACTTCCTTCTTCTGCGGAGAGGGAGATTTGTGAAGATAGGAACCATGATGGCTGAAGTGGACACGGAACTCTTGGTAGAACTCGTGGGAGCCGCCCCAGAGCTGTATGATCCGAGGCAAGGGCAATATGAGAACAATAACAGGAAGATGGACAGGGGGAGGGGCATTGCTGCCCAGGTTGCCCCCGGCGATGATCATTGGAGCAGCTCTGAATAGAACAACTGTGGTAAGTCCATGCCTCTTATGTGCAAGCATCGCGCTGCTCTGTTCCTGGCTATCTGTAGGTCTTGCGGAGGTCCCCCAGCAAAACCTAAAATTTAACGTGTCAAAAACACGGCAAAATGCAACGCAGTGCATTCCAGATCTGGTCCAGAAAATGGTGTGAACCTGCCCTGAGGCTGGGTTCACACCATTTTCCGGACCAGATCTGCAACATAGTGCATTGCATTTTTGCCGCATTTTTTTTTCTGCGATTTTGCCGCAATTGGATTTTTGTTTTTTGCTTTTAGCTTAAAATGGTTTTACAGGTGCGTTCCAGTGCGGTCCATGCATTTTTGATGCGTTCCAGTGCATTCCAGACCAGACAAAATAGGACAAGCAGTATTTTTCTGGTCTGGTCTGGAACAGACTGCTCTGTTGGGAACAGAGGCCAGAAATAGCATAGGGATACATTGGGATGCATTTTGGGTCCAGAAACAGTTTGGTCTGGAGGTAATCTGGATGTGGTGTGAATGGGCCCTGAATCAGGAACAAATAAAAGTCTTGAAAGGTTAATATGTTTTTAGCTTGTTATAAGAAATAAAGGTTTTATATTTATACTTCATACTTGTAGCTATATGTATTTTGTGGCACCTTGAAAAAAAA